GCTGGCCAATCAGAGCACACCTCACTTTTCAGACCGATGAGCTTTGTAAAAATCGATGCGTTTCAGAAAGGCGGGGCACAGAGGAGAAACAATAATCTACAGTATGTGGAAAATAATGTGTTTTTTTAACCTTAAACCGCATAAACACATTTCATTACACCAAATATACAAAATAATGTTATTTTTAGCAACATCAAATCACCCCTTTAAATTACTAATATACCCTAAACAGACAATAAGGAGTATTTTTTATTATATATTTTTTTTTCCTTTTGAGGAAAGAGGGAGACTGGAATAAATAGCAACACAGTAGAGAACAATAAACAATAAAAAAATTGCAAAACAAACAAAAAAATAATTAATCTAAAGTTTGAACATTTATGAATAGTCTAAAACATCTTCATTTGAACGTTCATTGTGTGACTGCCTACAGTAAGCGTGAAAATAGGCATTATATGGGTAAATTAGACCTGCTGGCGCTTATAGGTAAAAATTCCCAGCTTGTAACCTGGTTTTATCTAACCATATTTTTTAACAACAGGAGACAACAACCAATTGGTTTTAACAACCAATTTTAGTAAAAGTCAATGACTGGAAGACTTGGATATTTTATTGAAGATCTGTTATGTACATATTAAAAACAGCCATGAGGTAAATTTTACCCCGTGTCGGTTCTAGTGTTAAAAATGAATCGCTCAGTTCTTTAAAACAGTAACCTTCCTAAGGAGGTACCAGCAACCAGACAAAATAAACAATGATAATAATATGTGGAACATATACAGTAACAGAATATGCTGCCCAGGTGGCATCTGCAATTTAGGTCGGACCAATACAAGCAGCTGCAGTTTCTCTATTCATGGTTTTGTTTTGTTTTGTTTTTTTCTCATCAAGCCACTCACATGTAGATTATTTAAAATAGATTCAAAACATATCATAACCAGATCATCTCACAGCTTTTATTAACAGGAAACAATCCTGTACTGTATGTGTGTGTATGCTGGTCATGTTTGTTCTGTGAGGGTTAAAGCAGCCGACATAATCTCTGACAGATGGTCCAGCATCTCTAAACTGCAGCATCAGCATCACATGGCTTCTGCTCGCTCTCACCTTGTGACACGCTGCTACAATAAAGTCGATCTTACAGACCTCTTTGCTTTCTTCTGAAAGTTTGAGAGACTGGAATGTCAGAGTTATATCTAAACATAAATTCAGATATGAGCAGAAATGAACTCATAAGACCTAAGACCATGGCTTTGGCCATGACAATACATTTTCACTCAGTCTCTCTCTGATACACTGAAAAACTGCCCAAGCTAAAACAGATTAGCTGATTTAGCATGCAGTTTCAGAAAATCTCTCAAAATCCATTAATAGCCTGTTTTTTGTTTTTCATTGTTTCTCCTAGGCAGCAATGAGATTATGTGAAGATCAAATATCTATCCATCCATCCATCAGTTCACAGCAGAAAGGCAACATTTCTGTGCATGTGCATTAACCACTATGCCAGGTTTCCTCAAATCTTGTCCTGGAGGGCCAATGTGCTGCAGAGTTTAGCTCCAACCCTGGTCAAACTCACCTACCTGTGATTTTCTAATGATCCGGAAGAAATTGATTAGCATGCTCAGGTGTGTTTGAGCTAAACTGTGCAGGGAAGTGGATCTCGTGGGCCAGATTTGAGGATCCCTGCACTACGCTGTGGTTCTGACATGACAAGCTTTTGAAATATCAAGGGGAAAAAATACCATATTCTGCCACCATTTGTAACCCATAATGCAAATCTCATGAGGACGGACCAAGGCTCTGTCCCAAATGGTGCACTTGTGGTCTTGCGAAGGCCACCGCATGCATTACAGGGCACATTTTGATTAATAAATGCTTTTTCTTGTGTGGTTCGTTGCACAATACTATTTTATGAGCTCAAAATACTTTCATCATAGTGCATGATTTGTAGACTAATACATTTTGATGTTTGCAATACATAACTAGCTCCATATGTGTGGCTTTTTTGACATAGTAAACTTGCTCAGAAGTGCACCCGGTACAGCATTGCACTTGTTATGTAAAGTACTTGGGTGCGAGTCCCGTAAAACACGAGCCACATAAATCTGTTTCAGATAAATCTGAAGGCACTGTTAGTTCACTTTGAAAGTGTTTGCGAAGCAGCAAAATATAATTTTGCCTTCTGGCACCAAGGTTGTTCATTCGAATGCATGCAGTAATAAACAATGTAAAGATACTTTGAAGACAATGCAAGTCACTTTAGACACAAGAGTCTCCTAAATACATCATAGTAAACATAAAAAAAGCCTACAATTCACCATGTTGGTATCAGGTAAATAAATGTTGATATCATTAACATTTTGTTTGTATTGTTGTTCTGAATCTACTTTAATGTAGTAAAAAGGCACTACGACAAAAAAAAAGGATCCTTACGGTCTTAAAATAATTAATTGTGGCTGTCTGTAGATTGCTCACCGTCAGCGATGAAGTGTTCAGGAACATGGAGCGTGACCTTGACGGTGAGAGGACAGGACGTTTGCGTGCCATACACGACCGCCACCACACACGTGCAGACAGTGATCAGCGTTAGCGAGGCTTTGCTCATGGGACTCTGAGGGCAGCCTGTGGGAACAGAGAGAAGAACACGATTAGACTCCTGCTGTGATTTCACATGATGTCACACCTCTCCCACTCACCAACAAATGAACTGCTGCCTTCCACCATTATCAGGCAAGCTTTTGCTCTTTCTTTAATCTATACCATTGTTCAAAAGTTTGGTCTTTGCTAAGACTGTTTTTAAAAGTAGTTTATTCTGCTTACCAAGGCTGATCAAAAATACAGTAAGAACAGCAATATTGTGAAAATATTACAATTTATTTTATTTTTTTGTAAAATGTAACTTACGCCTGTGATGTAAAGCTGAATTTTCAGCATCATTACTCCAGTCTTCAGTGTCACATGATCCTTCAGAAATCATTCTAATATGCTGATTTGCAAAAAGAACTATGTATGAGTGTTACACTCTCTGGTCTCCTCTACACTGCTGAGGATATTGTAGAAACATCAGGAACGATTCTGTCAGGAACTCACACTAATCTCAATGTTTCGAAAGCTTTTCTCCACAGTTCTCCAGATCATGCCACTGTCTAATATAATACATTTTCCAAGCTGTTCTCAGAATTCTCCACTTCATTTCCATGGAACGATCTATAAAGCTTGCCTGAGTGAGCAACAATAACCAGAAGAGGGGCGGAGCTTAGATAAAGGTCAATTTGGACCACTTAATACAGCAAGCAGCTCTAATGCTACAATAAAAACGAGGAAAGACAAGTGTCCTGATGCTTTCTGGGGACAGCCTGGCCATAAATTGAATCCGCGAGCTCCCTGTAGAGTGGACGTGGGAGTGAGAGTGTTTATTCCCATGTCTCAAAGCTCTGTGATGACGATCAGATTTATGTAACATAGAAAACAAAGCTTAAAGTCCAACAGCAGTGATTCATCTGCGAGACAGAGGTTAAACTTAAACTCTGAAATATCCACATCTAAGAACCGACAAATAGGTTTTGGCAGCTTTGTTGAAAATCAGATGCTTTGAAGTCAAAGAACAGCATGTAATAATGAACAGGTAACATTAATACGATTAATTAATACCAGTACCGGCTCCCAACAAGCAAGAAATAATATTATTTTTGACATATTGGCGGCCTTCACAAACAAACAAACTCTTATTCTGTTCTTTAATTAGCTAAGTTTAGAAAAGTCCTTGTTAAGACTTGACAGATTTCTTTATGCAGATTAACAGATAATGGGTTTTCATCATTATCCGACAGGACTTAGATATCAGTGTTAGCCTGAAAATAATATATAATCACGGTTGTCTTGGAAACTGAGCTGAGATACACCCGACTAAGTGTTATAGAGGGCCTGGTGGGGTGAAACAAAAAGTGAAGTAACTCCTCTTCAAGCAACTTCAAGAACCTGAGATTTCTGTAGATTGCATTCAAACATCTCACAGATGCTTGTATTAGATTTGTTGTCTCTGCCGTGTTCAGCACTCCTCCAAGGGGTCACACCTGGCTTGTTCGTCACAGTGCAACATTCACAGTATCTCGCATCTCTTCCAGAACAATCTGTTCCTAACTGTAGCCGTCGGTAAACAGCCCACGATTATTAACACAATCTCGACTGGAGATCCAGAAGATATTTTAAAAAAATGGATAATGGGCGCTGGGTAAGTGGATTTGAAACCGGTGGACACGGACACAGGCAAACAAAAGTGTAAAATAAACTTCAAATGAGAAATGAAAAGTCAACATCTGGAAGTGGTTCTGAACTCATGAATAACTGGGATGCTCTTAAACAACAGAAACAGGATATGCACACAGTATTTCATAGATCTTACTGTGGAATGAAATGTAGCACATCTTAAAACATTATTTGGTAATACTTTGCAATAAGGTCCCATTAGTAATGCATTTGTTATAACATTTATTAATCGGTGTTAAAATTAATAGTTAGTTCATGTTAGCTCAAATCCATGACAAATATTAACAGATACAACTTTTGATTTTAATTATGTATTTGTAAATGTTTAAATTAACAATAGCTAAGATTAATAAGTGCTTTAGAAGTATTTTAATTGTTAGTTCATGTTAGTAATGCAGTTAACTAATGCTAACAAATGGAACCTTACTGTAAAGTGTTGCACATTATTTTATAGGCCAATTTGCATGACACAATTTAAAACCGGAAACTAGTCTTTAACACATTGACAGGAATGAAAAACAGTCAAGTACCAAAAGAGAAGAGAGATCAAAGCCTTGAATCCTTTTAAAATATTTATATTATTCCTACTTTGTATACATTTTAAATACTTTTATGCAACAGTTACATTTTAATACCTGGTTGTAGGGTTAGGGTTAGTGAGTCATTGTATTATTCACTCAACTGATTTATTCAAAAACACTGAATCATTGTTTCAGAAGTGAATGAGCAAGTCCTTGACAAAGCTTAGCAGAGCTTCACACTTGTGTGTCCTTCATGCTAGAGAGCATCTTCCACACAATGCTCAACAACACTACTGGCTGTGCAATGATAATGCTCATGCATACAGTACATATAAAACATGACAACCACTGGTTAGATTCACAAACACATGTGACCTGTGCTGGCAAAATGAGTCACAATAAGCAATTTTTATTTTCACATTTTCCTGTAAATGGCTTTCAGAATGATTTATGATTTGTTGGAATCGGAAGAAAAATGACTGAGCTACACGCGTCGATGGAGTCAGCAAAGTCAATTTTGAGAAAAATCGAGTTAAAGTTTTCTGATGGTTCCAAAGCAAAATCACAGAACATCATTGCATCTTTTCCTCCACTTCTTTTCTTAATAATAATTACTGTATTAATAGTCACAATATAGCTGTTTTTTTATTTTATCTTTGTTATTATAAATAAGAACGAATGCAAAAAAAAAACTAAAAAAAAAAAAACTGTAGAACAAATATAAGAAAAAATTTTTTTTTTTTTTTTAATTACCTTTTTCTTCTGAACTCATGAATAACTGGGATGCTCTTAAACAACAGAAACAGGATATGCACACAGTATTTCATAGATCTTACTGTGGAATGAAATGTAGCACATCTTAAAACATTATTTGGTAATACTTTGCAATAAGGTCCCATTAGTAATGCATTTGTTATAACATTTATTAATCGGTGTTAAAATTAATAGTTAGTTCATGTTAGCTCAAATCCATGACAAATATTAACAGATACAACTTTTGATTTTAATTATGTATTTGTAAATGTTTAAATTAACAATAGCTAAGATTAATAAGTGCTTTAGAAGTATTTTAATTGTTAGTTCATGTTAGTAATGCAGTTAACTAATGCTAACAAATGGAACCTTACTGTAAAGTGTTGCACATTATTTTATAGGCCAATTTGCATGACACAATTTAAAACCGGAAACTAGTCTTTAACACATTGACAGGAATGAAAAACAGTCAAGTACCAAAAGAGAAGAGAGATCAAAGCCTTGAATCCTTTTAAAATATTTATATTATTCCTACTTTGTATACATTTTAAATACTTTTATGCAACAGTTACATTTTAATACCTGGTTGTAGGGTTAGGGTTAGTGAGTCATTGTATTATTCACTCAACTGATTTATTCAAAAACACTGAATCATTCAGGCACAAAACATCACAACTGTGTGCTCCTCTGTGTTGCAATGGTTCTGTGGTTTGGAACAATTATTGTTGGATGCATAAAACTGTCAATACGGAGGCCAAAATCCACAAATTGCCAACAGTTATATCCTTACTACTTATATAAATTCACTTAGACTAAAAACTGATTTTTTATTTTTTTTTGGTCGCCTGTTCATTCAAAAATAAAAATACAATTGTTATGCTTTATGGTTTTGATCCACTGGCTTGTAGAGTTGTGAGTCATTCTTCAGAATCGGACTACACTGGCCACACAGTATGTTTTGCTCTGTAGATATTGTGTTGAGGCACCATTGCATAGTCATGAAGAAAACATTGTCAGAGTATTTTAATATGGTGTCCTTTGCACACTGTCAGTAGAATGCATATTCGAGAACTATTCTGAGCTGAATTCTGAATAAGAACGCTACATTAATCCCAATAGCAAATGTGTTATTGACCCAACACACAAGAATATTGAATGTGAATAAAGTGATGTGGTGTAAAATCATTTAACAGGATTGTTTTAAAATGGTTTATCAATATTGTCTTCCAATTACAATGTGTGATTTATTACAAGACATGCACACAGAAATACAATGATACAACCAGATCTTACAAATGTAGCCCATTTTGATTTTAAGAATCACCATTGAGTAACCCATTGACCACTAATCTAGGATGCATCCACCTTTTTATTTGTTAGTTAGTTTGTATGGCATTAGCTTAAATGGCACTACTTCCTGAAAATGAACCAGCTATTTTTTATTTCCCCACTGATATATTTTTTTGCTAAAGAAATCCCTTTATGCTGACAAATTTTATTAAGCATTTCAACAATGATTCATATGTGTGACTAATACATTAAGAACTTGATACATAAAGGGAGGAATATTGCAGTGTTTAGTTGTTGAACAGTCACTGAAATAATAGGTTTAATGACACAACTTTAAATGTGAAATGGGCCGCAATCACCGTGAAAGACCTAAGAGCACATTAGCATATGTACGAACACAACAGCATGTTAACACTGAACACACACACACACACACACACACACACACACACACACACACACACACACACACACACACACGAGAAAAATCGAGTTAAAGTTTTCTGATGGTTCCAAAGCACAGAGCAATGTTGCATCTTTCCCTCCAGTTCATAATAATAATTACTATATTAATAATAATTTTTTTATTTTATCTTTGTTATTATAAGAACATTTGCAAAAAAAAAAAAAAAAAAAAAACAGTAAAAAAAATTTAAGAAAAAAACAAATAATGCATTACTTTTTCATTTTACATCTAAGCAAAAGCATTCAAGTAAGAAAATAAAATAATCAAATGTAAAAATCCCTTTAGTGAGTTCATTACAAATAAATAGATTATTAAAGCTACAAAAG